TCCTCCTGGTCCATCCGGCCTTCATCGCTCATCCGCTGGCTCTCCTTCACCTTGGCGAAGGCGCCTGGCGAGGCAGGGGCAGGGTGAGAGGTCAGGGCTGCCCACATCCCTTCTCTCTCCCCGCCATCCCCTTAGTTTTATCCCCCCTCCTTCCATTTATTTTTTACGACTTGGTTTCGAAAGCATCCTGCCTGGCTCCAGCCCCGCATTCCTCCCCTCTCATTAGTGTTTGCTTCAAAACAGGATCTGTCCCGCAGCTCCCCGGGCTTTTTTCCCTTCTCCCTGCCCCTTGCCAGGACCCAGGGTTACGGTGCTCCCAGCACAGAGGAGGAGGAGGAAGAAGCAAAGGTTGGAGGCCAAATCCTGCTTTCCGCTCTGCCCACGCGGCCTCGCTTCCGGACGGGATCCAGCCCCTCGTCACTCCCCGGGATAAACAACGCGGGGAGGAAAAGACGAGGAAGCGGGATCGCATCCTCCCTCCCCTTCCCCCTTCACTTTCCCAGACCCCCCAGGGATGCGGGGTGATGTACAGACACCCCCAGATGCTCGGACACAGCCAGCCCTGGGGAAAACAACCTGACCCCATAATATCTGGGGATGATGGCACAGGAGTCCAGGCCGGGAGGAGTGCATGGACTTTGGCCCCGCTCCCTGCCTGCGTCACACCCCACTGCCCGGGTGCAAAGGGACACGGAGCCCTGGCTGCTCCCTGCCTGCCTCAGAAGGGGCACAGCAGCCGCCTCTCGCCCCCACAGAGGGTATGGGGGATGCAGGGAGCCCTGGGGGTGCTAAACTCCAGCATCCCCCCTGGCCACCCAACTGCTGCCTTGGACAGGGAAGGAGGATGAGGGTGGACAAGCAGTGGTGGGCAGGCCACCCTGGAGCCAACAGCAACGGTGCCAGCTCCTGCTCACAATTTGGGGGGAGTGATGCCATCCTCATCCCCATCTCCATCCCCATCCTCACCCTTATCCCCATCCTCATTTCCATCTCCACGCTATTCCCACCCATGTGGAGCCATAGTGCAGGAGCGGGCATCACCAGGGGAGAAGCAGCCACCCTTACCTTTCTGGAGGTGGATGATGTCTGGGAAGTTGGAGAGGAGCCCTTGGTACAAAGAGAGAGTGTCCAGCATGAGGAACAGGTCGTTCTTGGGCTGCTCGGCAAACATCTCCCCCACGGTCTCGTACGTCTTGCCTGTGTGGGAGATGGCATTGTTGAGGGCATCCGAGCTGTATGGGGGGTCCATGTGGAAGGAGTGGCTGATGGCCTGGAAAGCGTTGCCCAGCTTCTGGAACTCCTTCCGGAAGCCCCCCACGTGCTTGCGCACCAGCTCCGAGGCCACGTTGGTCAGCTGCAGGACGCTGTCGTCCATCTTCTTGCTGAAGGCCTTGAAGGCATCCACGCGGTCCTCCACATCCTGCAGGTCCTGGTGCTCCGTGGGGATCTGGATGGTGAGGAGGAAGCTGGCGCCCACCATCTCGTCCTTCTCCGCCCGGCGTTTGCCCAGCTTCCACTGCTTCTCATCGCGGCAGCAGAGGAAGTGCTGGAAGCCCTCGTACTGGGAGAGGACGGGGTGGCTGGTCATATGGTCCATCCAGAGGATCAGCCGCCGCTTGCGCTTCTCGATGAAGTCCTCCTCGAAGCGCCCGGTGGCCTGCTTCTCGGGCAGGTGAGGCACCGAGATGACCGTGAACTTGTGCAGGAGGCGGTTGTAGAGCCAGTCAAAGTGCTTGTACCGCCGGTAGACAGGCGAGTTGATGTTGCTGGGGGTCAGCTTGTAGGAGATGTAGCTCTTGATACCCTTGAACTTGGTTTGCTTGGTGGGGTCCTCCACGGAGCAGATGAAGGGGTGGGGGTTGGCCCTCCACTGGGGGCCTTTGGAGCCCATCTCGATGCAGTACGCCTCGGCGATCTTGGACATCAGGGGCACGTCGCCCAGGATGAAGGCTTCCACCCCTGAGCGGACAAAGCAGGAGAAGCGGTTGAGGTTCCTCCCCACCACGCTGCCCCTCTTTTTTTTTGCCTCTCCAGCGCCGGTTTGGGACGGTAACCGGCATGCTGGGGGTGCCCGTACGCCGCTGGGTACTGCAGGCTGGGCGAAGGGTGCCCGTTGGTGCCCGGTGCGCTCCGGGGCTCCTCCACCACCGTGCAAGCATCGTCCCAGTCATCCCAGTCATCATCGTCGTCGTCCTCAAAACTACCTTGGTAGGAGATGCCAGGGTTGGGGAGGGCCGTGGAGAAGGAGGAGTCGTGCCTGGGGGAGCCGGCCGGGCT